TGCCTGTAGTTGGCATTTGATTAAATAATGTCTCCACATAGCATTTCATTAAATAATGTATCTAATTAGCATTTCATTAAATAATGCCTCAAGTTGGTATTTGATTAAATAATATCTCCACATAGCATTTCATTAAATAATGTACCTATTTAGCATTTCATTAAACAATGTCTCTTGTTGGTATTTGATTAAATAATGTCTCCACTTAGCATTTCATTAAATAATGTCTGTAGTTGGCATTTGATTAAATAATGTCTCCCCTTAGCATTTCATTAAATAATGTCTCTAGTTGGCATTTGACTAAATAATGTCTCCCCTTAGCATTTCATTAAATAATGTCTCTAGTTGGCATTTGACTAAATAATGTCTCCCCTTAGCATTTCATTAAATAATGTCTCTAGTTGGCATTTGATTAAATAATGTCTCCCGTTAGCATTTCATTAAATAATGTCTCTAGTTGGCATTTGATTGAATAATGTCTCCCCTTAGCATTTCATTAAATAATGTCTCTAGTTGGCATTTGATTAAATAATGTCTCCCCTTAGCATTTCATTAAACAATGTCTCTTGTTGGCATTTGATTAAATAATGTCTCCCGTTAGCATTTCATTAAATAATGTCTCTAGTTGGCATTTGATTAAATAATGTCTCCCCTTAGCATTTTATTAAATAATGTATCTACTTAAGATTTCAGGAAATAATATGAAGGATAGAGAAAACACTTATTGAAATGTAATGATTAAAACAACAAAGATGAAGATACTAGATAACAACTTTCTATTTCAGGACATCAAACGAACTTTGAAAGAAAACGACAAATCTGGAGCAATCTTTTTGTGTGGATTTTATTTTGAAAGGTATGTGAAACTCTATAACCACGTATACAGTTTAAAGTGTTTCATTTTGGTTTCTTAGAATTTGTTATGTTAATTCAAATTTGTTATGTTAAATTTGAATCTAACTGACAGACAGGAAGAACAAAGCGTAACTTAAAACCATCTGAGATTTCTTTCAAAGTTTGTGTATGTTTACTATCCTTTGCCGTCTGACATTTAAGAAAAATCTTCAAACCACTTTGTTATTGTCATTTGAAATAACATCTACAAGTATTCGTAAGAAGTGTGGAAATCTCAGAGAAGAAATATGGTAAAATTTACAATTGAAAGCATCGTAAATTCGATGGAAAAAAAAAAAACAGTCAAAAAAAAAAAAAAAAGAAAGAAGAAATAAGTGATACAAAAACAAATCGTTGATATTCGCTTCCGGTTTTTCACTCTTGAGATAAAAAATATAATGAAAAGAAAAAAATAAATGGCAGATAAGATAGGAAGGAAAGTAAAAACAAGAAAAATAATTTATGCAAAAGAACAAAAGAAACATAATATAAATATACATGCATATATATATATATATATATATATATATATATATATATATATATATATATATATATATATATATATATATATATATATATATATATATATATATAAAATATAGGAAGAAAATATAAAGAATATAAAAAAACAGAAACATAAAGAAATATAAGACACAAAGGCAAAAAAATATGACAATTAAAAAGGAATGACAAAAAAAAGGCAAAAAAGAAAAGCAAAAATAAAATAAGAAAAGTAAAAAAGAAAGATAAAAAAGAAAGGCAAAGAAAGAAAGTAAAAAAAAATAAGAAAGAAAGAAAAAAATAAGAAAAGTAAAAAAGAAAGACAAAGAAAGAAAGGCAAAGAAAGAAAGGCAAAAATAAAATAAGAAAAGTAAAAAGGAAAGAGAAAGAAAGAAGACAAAAATAAAATAAGAAATGTAAAAAGGAAAGGTAAAAAAGAAAGGCAAAGAAAGTAACGCAAAAAAATAAGAAAAGTAAAAAGTAAATACAAAGAAAGAAAAGCCAAGAAAGAAAGGCAAAAATGAAATAAGAGAAGTAAAAAGGAAAGACAAAGAAAGAAAGGCAAAGAAAGAAAGGCAAATAAAATAAGAAAGGTAAAAAGGAAAGATAAAAAGAAGGCAAAGAAAAAATGCAAAAATAAAATAAAAAAAGTAAAAAGGAAAGACAAAGAAAGAAAGGCAAAGAAAGAAAGGCAAAAATAAAATAAGAGATGAAAAAAGGAAAGTCAAAGAAAGAAAGGCAAAGAAAGGAAGGCAAAAATAAAATAAGAAAAGTAAAAAGGAATGAAAAAGAAATGCAAATAAATCAGAAAAGTAAAAAGGAAAGGCAAAAAAAGAAATGCACAGAAAGAAAGGCAAAAAAATAAGAAAAATAAAAAGGAATGAAAAAGAAATGCAAATAAATAAGAAAAGTAAAAAGGAAAGACAAAGACAGAAAGAAATAAAGGCAAAAATGAAATATGAAAAGTAAAAAGGAAAGATAAAAAAGAAAAGCAAAGAAAGAAAGGCAAAAAATAAGAAAAATAAAAACGAATGACAAAGAAAAAAAGGCAAAGGAAGAAAGGCAAAAAAATAAGAAAAGCAAAAAGGAAAGATAAAAAGAAAAGCGAAGAAAGAAAGGCAAAAATAAAAGAAGAAAAGTAAAAAGGAAGGACAAAAATGAAAGAAAGGAAAAAAGAAAAGTAAAAAGGAAAAATAAAAAAGAAAGACAAAGAAAGAAAGGCAAAGAAAGAGAGACAAAAAATAAGAAAAGTAAAAAGGAAAGGAAAAGAAAGAAAGGTAAGAATTAAAAAAGAAAAGTAAAAATGAAAGACAAAGAAAGGAAGGCAAAGAAAGAAAGGCAAAAATAAAAAAAAGAAAAGTAAAAAGGAAACATAAAAAGAAAAGGCAAAGGAAGAAATGCAAAAATAAAATAAGAAAAGAAAAAAGAAAAGACAAAAAAAAAAAGCAAAATAAAAAAAAAAGCAAAAAAAAAAAAAGAAAAAAGGTAAAAAAAGGAAAGACAAATAAAGAAAAAAAGAAAAGAAAAAAAGAAAGGCAAAAATAAAACAAAAAAAAAAAAAAAAAAAAGGAATGACAAAGAAAAAAAGAAGACAAAGAAACAAAGGCAAAAATAAAATAACAAAAGGAATAAGGAAAGACAAAGAAGGAAAAGCAAAAATAGAATAAGAAAAGTAAAAAGAAAAGACAAAAAAGAAAGAAAGGCAAAAATAAAATGAGAAAAGTAAAAAGGAAAAACAAAAAAGAAAGGCAAGGAAAGAAGGCAAAAAAAAGAAAAGTAAAAAGGAAAGACAAAGAAAGAAAGGCAAAGAAAGAAAGGCAAAAATAAAATAAGAAAAGTAAAAAGAAATGACAAAGAAAGAAAGGCAAAGGAAGAAAAACAAAAATAAAATAAGAAAAGTAAAAAGGAAAGACAAAGACAGAAAGAAATAAAGGCAAAAATGAAATATGAAAAGTAAAAAGGAAAGATAAAAAAGAAAAGCAAAGAAAGAAAGGCAAAAAATAAGAAAAATAAAAACGAATGACAAAGAAAAAAAGGCAAAGGAAGAAAGGCAAAAAATAAGAAATGCAAAAAGGAAAGATAAAAAGAAAAGCGAAGAAAGAAAGGCAAAAATAAACGAAGAAAAGTAAAAAAGAAAGACAAAGAAAGAAAGAAAGAAAGGCAAAGAAAGAGAGACAAAAAAATAAGAAAAGTAAAAAAGAAAGGAAAAGAAAGAAAGGCAAGAATGAAAAAAAAAAGTAAAAAGGAAAGAAAAAGAAAGAAGTGCAAGAATTAAAAAAGAAAAGTAAAAAGGAAAGACAAAGAAAGAAAGGCAAAGGAAGAAATGCAAAAATAAAATAAGAAAAGTAAAAAGGAAACATAAAAAGAAAAGGCAAAGGAAGAAATGCAAAAAAAAAGAAAAGTAAAAAGGAAAGACAAAGAAAGAAAGAAAGAAAGGCAAAAATAAAATATGAAAAATAAAGAGGAAACATGAAAAAGATGGCAAGAAACAAAGGCAAAAATAAAATAACAAAAGGAAAAAGGAAAGACAAAGTAAGAAAGGCAAAAAAAATAAGAAAAGTAAAAAGAAAAGACAAAAAAGAAAGAAAGGCAAAAAGAAAATGAGAAAAGAAAAAAGGAAAGACAAAAAAAGAAAAGCAAAGAAAGAAAAGCAAAATAAAAAGGAATGACAAAGAAAAAAGACAAAGAAACAAAGGCAAAAATAAAATAAGAAAAGCAAAAAGGAAAGATAAAAAGACAAAAAAAAGAAACAAAGGCAAAGAAAGAGAGGAAAAAAAATAAAGGAAAGTAAAAAAGAAAGGAAAAGAAAGAAAGGCAAGAATTAAAAAAAAAGTAAAAAGGAAAGACGGGCAAGAATTAAAAAAGTAAAGGAAAAAGGAAAGACAAAGAAAGAAAGGCAAGGAAAGAAAGGCAAAAAAAAAAGAAAAGTAAAAAAAAAGACAATGAAAGAAAGGCAAAGAACGAAAGCAAAAATAAAATAAGAAAAGTAAAAAGGAAAGACAAAGAAAGAAAGGCAAAAAAAGAAAGGCAAAAATAAAATAGGAAAAGTAAAAAGGAAAGTTAAAGAAAGAAAGAAAGAAAGAAAGGCAAAAATAAAATAAAAAAGTAAAAAGGAAAGACAAAGGAAGAAAGGCCAAGAAAGAAAGGCAAAAATAATATAAGAAAACCAAAAATGAAAGAAAAAAAAACAAAGAAATGCAAATAAATAAGAAAAGTAAAAAGGAAAGAAAAGAAAGGAGATAAGCGAAAATAAAAAAAGAAATGTAAAAAGGAATGACAAAGAAATGCAAATAAATAAGAAAAGTAAAAAGGAATGACAAAGAAAGAAAGGCAAAGAAAGAAAGGTAAAAAAATAAGAAAAGTAAAAAGGAAAGACAAAGAAAGAAAGGCAAAGAAAGAAAGACAAAAATAAAATAAGAAAAGTAAAATGGAAAGACAGAGAAATAAAGGCAAAAAAAATAAGAAAAGTAAAATGGATGGACAAAGAAAAAAGTAAAGAAAGGAAGGCAAAAATAAAATAAGAAAAGTACAAAAGAACGACAAAGAAAAAGAAAGAAAGTCAAAAATAAAATAAGAAAAGTAAAAAGGAATGACAAAGAAATTCAAATAAATAATAAAAGTATATAGGAAAGAAAAGAAAGAAAGAAAGAAGAAAGGCGAAAATAAAATAAGAAATGTAAAAAAAATGACAAAGAAATGCAAATAAATAAGAAAATTAAAAAGGAAAGACAAAGAAAGAAATGCAAAGAAAGAAAGGCAAAAATAAAATAATAAAAGTAAAAATGAATGACAAAGAAATGCAAATAAATATGAAAAGATAAAAGAAAGACAAAGAAAGAAAGGCAAAGAAAGAAAGGCAAAGAAAGAAAGGCAAAAATAAAATAAGAAAAGTAAAAAGAAAAGATAAAGAAAGAAAGGCTAAGAAACAAAGGCAAAAATAAAATAAGAAAAGTAAAAAGGAAAGACAAAGACAGAAAAAAGAAATGCAAATATAGAATAAGAAAAGTAAAAAGGAATGACTGAGAAATCCAAATAAATAAGAAAATTAAAGAGGAAAGGCAAATAAGGAAAGGCAAAGAAAAAACGGCAAAAATAAAATAAGAAAAGTAAAAAGGAACGACAAAGGAAGAAATGCAAATAAATATGAAAAGTAAAAAGGAAAGACAAAGAAATGCAAATAAATAAGAAAAGAGAAAAACGGAAACCATGAAAGAAATACGAAAAAATACAAAAATAAAATAAAAAAATCAAGAATGATAGAAAGATCGAAATAATAAGGAAGGGAGAAAGAAAGAGGAACAAACAAACAAAGGTAAAAGAAGGAGAAAATTGTAATGAAAAAAGAAAAAAATTCAAAGAAGAAAGAAAGACAGAATTAAAAACGAATAAAGAAAGACAGAGAAAGAAAGAAAGAAAGGTAAAGAAAGAAAATGTAAAGAAACAAATAAATCATAGCAAAAAGGACGATAAAAAGAGAAAGAAAGAAGAGAGTAACAATGAAAATTCGTTGGTTAAGCAATCAAACAAAAAAGAATTAAAAAAACCCAGATCTCCGCCAAACAAATTATTTCTGTTTTCTCGCCGGAAGGCATGTCGCGCATGCGCAGAGAGTTAGCTGATTAAATCGGTTGGCCACCTCTTCTATTTTACTCTCAATCATTTCATATGATTTGAACACGGCTTTTATAAACAGACACCAACCGAAAGAGCGATTAAAGAAATGTCATTCTCCTTTTCAAATAGGAACAATCCCGTAAGACCATTGTTCACATGACCTGTAACGAAAACAAGTATAAATTTTAAAGTTTCAAAGCCATTGATAGTGAGTATAATTATATCTCAATGTTATACAAACAGCGCATTGTGCTAGACATGTTCCTCTTGTAAATCAGTCTGCTTTTTGTTTGTTTCAAATCTCAAAATTCCTTTTTGTGTGCCTGCCAATCTTGGATATTAACAGAAGAATTACAGCGAAGAATGAGATTCTGCAGAACCATCCTTGGCATCACCTAAGTAGTTCACATCACAAATGACGCGTCGACGATCACCATCAGGAGAGAAGACCTCATATTCACCATTAAAAAAAGAAAGCTTCAAAGGTTAGGGAGTGTCATAAGAACCAACAATTTTCCCATGCAGTATCGATGTGTTTTCAAAAGAACCAAAAATGTCAGAACTAGGGATATTCAAAATTTAGTATCTATGTGTTTTAAAAAGGGACAAGATTTCGCAATCAATGAAAATCAAATTTTACGATCGATGTGTTTTTCAAAAGTGGCAAAAATGTCGCAAGAAACGAAAATCAAAATTCAGTATCGATTTTTTTTTAAGTGTCAACCTGTAGTGAAAGTCTAAATTCGGTATCGAGATGTCTTTTCAAAAGAGCCAAACGTAGCGAAAATCAAAATATAGTATCGATATCTTTTTAAATTTTTTTGCCATATTTAAAAAAATATTTTCAAGTGAATATGATTTTAAAATATTTTTTGGCTTATTAAAACATATTTTTACGTTAATGTGCTTATACAGTAGGTCTTTCAATATATATATATATATATATATATATATAATAAAAAGGCTTAAACACTAATATTCCATGGTCATAATTTATTCCATTGGAATCGTAAATACGATCCAAATCATCAGACCTACAAATTCAAAATGAAAACAAAAAAACAACTCCGGAAATCAAAACAGAATTTAGAGAAAGTGTAAGTATGAGGATGAGTGACAGAGAGAATTTTTGGAGATGTGGGTGGGGTGGATTTAAAAAGGAGAGAAAGAAAGTCGACGGATGTCTAATACATAAAAGATACATTTCGTGGTGACATATACACACCACAGACAATTCGGATAGGAAGGAAAAAAAAAAAAAAAAAAAAAAATGTGTGTATATGTATATATATGTGTGTATGTGTGTATGTATGTGCATGTACACTTATGTCTGGGTGTGTGTGTGTGTACATGCCTAAGTGTATGTACCTACTTGTATATTTTTTTTTTTTTTTGTGTATTAGTATGTTTTTTGAACATAGAAATATTTGGTCCTTGCGAAATGAGACAATCGTTATATTCATCTTCATATATTTATATTTGATTTTAAATTTTAAGTAAACACAATTTTTATTTTCCTTCGTCCCATCCCTCTCCCCCCCCTTTTCCTTTTTTTTTTCCCTTCCTATCCGAATTGTCTGTGGTGTATATGTCACCACGAAATGTATCTTTATGTATTAGACATCCGTCGACTTTCTTTCTCTCCTCTTTTTAAATCCACCCCACCCACATCTCCAAAAATTCTCTCTGTCACTCATCCTCATACTTACACTTTCTCTAAATTCTGATTTGATTTCCGGAGTTGTTTTTCTGTTTTCATTTTGAATTTGTAGGTCTGATGATTTGGATCGTATTTACGATTCAATGGAATAAATTATGACCATGGAATATTAGTGTTTAAGCCTTTTTATTATATCCTTACTCTGTCTTAGACATTGAGTTCTACCTGGATCCTTCCTCTTGGAAAAATTTTTTTCTGAAAATATACATGTATGGGAATTTTTAGATATATTTTTCATATGTATGTATATTTTCCACTAATATTATCTATATATATATATATATATATATATATATATATATATATATATATATACATAAATATGTGTGTATATATATATAAAACTGCTTTTTTACTAAAACAAAACTGCTCTCTCTATTACTCACTACAGAGAACCATCCCTGTCTTTCATTAGAATGTCTGACACTCAACTCCACGAGAGTAATCCTTTGCGACTGCTCGGTCTCACATTGACTGCTGACCTGAGATGGAACGAATACATTGAGTCAATAGCTTCGTCCACAGCAAGGAAAGTTGGCTCCCTCTGCCGCGCCAGGAAGATTTTCTTGCCGGAGTCGATCCTTCAAATCTACAAATCAGCCATTCACCTTTGCATGGAATATTGCTACCATATATGATCTGGATCCCCTTCTGTTTGTCTCAAGGTCCTTGATAAAATCCAGAGACGGATATGAAATGTAATTGGCACTGATCTGGCATCTCGTCTGCAGTAATTCTCTCAAAGACATGCTGTCGCCTCCATCTGTCTTTTTTTTTTTTACAAATACTTTCACGGTAACTGCTCCGATGAGCTGCTTTTGCTGGTTCCCAGACTTCATGAATTTAAGCGTTCTAATAAGCTGGCATCTCGCTTCCACCCTTTCACTGTCGGAACTGTTAAATGTAGCCGTCTCTTCTACTTCAATAGCTTCATGTTTCGCACTTCTCGCCTGTGGAACTCCTTCCCCTTTTCCTGTTTTTGCGATAGCTATAATCTCCAACTATTTAAATGTAATGTCAATCGACGTCTCCAGATGCCTTGATCTATCCCCTATCCTTCTCTTCATCCTTTCCCTTATAACTCCTCTTTTCTTTGCTCTCGCTCCAACTCTCTGTAACCCCTTGCGTGCTAGTGGCTTCCTGCCTTTCTTGGGATGAAACGCTTAATATATATATATATATATATATATATATATATATATATATATATTTGTCAGGAACTGCGAATGCGGCTGGTTCCATGTAATTCAGTACTACCAGCTGGAAGGTCGGTCATTGGCGGTGAAACCGGTTCCCCCACCAGGCTTTTCTTGTGAGGTGGGATTACCAGACACCTAGTAGGATTAAAAACATGCCCTTTCTGAGGACGGACGAACCTTTTTGTTGAGTCAACGCCCATCTTGCACAATGGGGTAGATGGGGCTCCATATATATGTATGCAGCCAGTGTGGTGTATCGCTGGATGGAGGGCTTCTCTGGACCGAAATCAACAGCCAGGATGGAGTGTCCCGCAACCTCTTGGAATCAAGGCATTCTTCAAGTTGAAGGACATCGGATGTCGTTAATCGATAACATGATCCACATGAATAAATACCTATCCGGTTTTTAGCACATATATCTGGAGTTAACTGGTCCCTTGTTCGGCTGCGCTGTGACCTTACGACCACAGCCGGTCATGGGAATGATGATGATGATGATGATGATGATGATGATGATGATGATGATTACTTCGTGTGCAATATGATTTTACATGCAAGACAACACGACTGAGATTTCCAATCCAAAACAACGTCTCAAGATACTGGGGGTGGATGAATCATATTACTTTTTTTTTCTTTTATTAAGTCTTGTTTTTAGACTTAGTGTGTCCTTTCAGGATACACTACGGAAACACACAAGTCGCTATTCGCACTGGCGTAAACCATTTTTATATCCATGTTTACCACTCAGCATAATTGTCCGTGTTTTTTTCGAATAACATGTTACCGTATTGTTAATGGAAAAACTTTTATCACAGTTTTCTATCTGCTTTTGTTATCAGCGCTATTCTCTCATAAGTCCTTTTCATTTTCATAATGGCCCAAACAATATTTCGTCCTTTGATACAGCATACGATAAGAGACATAATATTTCTTATTTTATCGTTTGGAGCACGATCGAAACAATACAGAATACAATACGTTTTTTTTTTTTTAATTCTTTGACGGTTTCGTATTTCCAGTTAACATCCCTTGTACAATGAAGGGAATTCAAAGATTTCCCTAGCAAGTGAGTAATTTTCTGTTTTTAAACGTCTTTCCATTTTCCTTGAGATTTTACAAGTATTTTAGATGCTGTTCTAGAAAATAATCATTTGCTTTACTGTATAATTATATAAACTATATAATAATTTAGAATAATAATTAATTATTATTTTAATTATTAATTATATAATAATAATTATTAATCATATAATAATTATAGAATAACAGGCGGGAAATGGCTTGTAAACTGTAATGCCTCCAAAACGAAACTACTCTCCTTTACAACAGAGAACCTTCCTTGTCTCCCATCAGAATAACTGATGCACAACTCCTCGAGAACGCCTCGTTACCCCTGCTTGGTCTCACGCTGTCCACTGACATGAAGTGGAACAAATACATTGAATCAATAGCTTCATCTACCCGCAAGGAAAATTGGTTCGCTGTGTTGTGCCAGAAAGTTTTTCTCGCCTGAGTCCATCCTTCAAATCTATAAATCAACCATCCGTCCTTGCATGGAATATTGGTCTGGTGCCCCCGCTGTACGTCTCGAGGTCATCGACAAAATCCAGAATGCGATAGGTCCTGAACTGGCATCTCGTTTACAGTAGCTTTTTCACAGACGTGCTGTGGC